GATATAACTATTTGATCTTAAAAATGATCCCTCCTCAGCACATCCTCAAGCCACATTCAGCTAAGAAAATGGAATGTTTGCATGCCATTCTTAAATAAAACCCTTATGCAACACATGATATAATTAAACCCATTACATTATTAAATTGATCATTTTACAATCAATAAAATCTTCACAACATTCTTCAAAAAAAGAAAACTAGTGTCACATTGTATACCTCATGAGTTAGACAATCAAAATCAAAAGAATAGAGTTTAGGCATGTAAGGAAAATTTAAAACTATTTTGAATCAACCCATGGAGACTTAGTGTCATGGAATCATAGAATACAGGGGTGGATGCAGTATTTCTTGATGTTTGAGAAGCTCCAAAATTTATATGTTTATACTTATTTCAAATAAGAATACTTTGTAAATAATTGCAATAATTGGAACCAAAGAATAAAAAGTCCCAAAATCATGGAAATTATTTTAAATATTTAATGAAATAAAATTAAAAAACTTTCTATTTTCATTTTTATAAGGGGTTCTACAAACTTTTCTTACCACCTAATTTAAAATATTTAAAGCATGCACATTCTAATGTATGCTCTGAAAATTTGCTTCTCTGTGCAAGCGTTTTTTTTTTTTGACAATTTTTTTTTAGAGTTAGCTCGAGATACCCTTAAGAGTTATGGTAAAACTGTTATTGGAGGAATTATTTCACCAACTCACGATATGTATAAAAAAAAGGTTAAATATTTATTTAGTGATTAGAATTAAGTAAAGAAAACTGAATTGTTCTACCCCAAAACATTTATTCCTACACAATTATTTTCTAATGTTGTAGGAATAAATGTTTTGTTCTAATGTTGTAGGAATGAATGTTTTGTTCTAATGTTGTGGGAATGAATGTTTTGTTCTAATTTTGTAGGAATGAATGTTTTGTTCTAATGTTGTAGGAATGAATGTTTTGTTCTAATGTTGTAGGAATAAATGTTTTGTTCTAATGTTGTAGGAATGAATGTTTTGTTCTCATGTTGTAGGAATAAATGTTTTGTTCTAATGTTGTAGGAATAAATTTTTTATTATGAATGTTGTGATAGAATAATCACAACATTCACAGTAGTTGTGAATGTTGTAGTAGGATTTGATCTCTATACCTTAATTTAACCTATACCTTTTGCTCTGTAGAGACCACACAGGTACACTATACAGCCTTAGTTAAAGGCTATCATATCCATTATTTTAATTTTTTTTTCATAATGATGGAATAGTTTTTAATAAATAACTAGCAATTATTACAGTTTCTAAAGATATTTGTAAAGGAGATACTGCAAATTTATCAAAAAAATAGTTCTCAAAAAAATTTGCAAGGATCTTCTCATTTTTTCAATAAAAAAGGTCAGACCACATTTAGTTTATGCAGTCATAGTTTAAAAATTCTTACTAAAGCTACAGGATATTATCCTGTAGCTTTCCTCTATATCATATTTTTTAATTGCATTTTATTTTTCAAATAATTCCACTCAGTTTTATTAAAATGTTTAAAACAATATATACAATACCAGTTTAAGGCTTGATTGTCTTTGAATTCACTCATTCAAAGATAATATCGTTTTACATTGAATATGATTCTTTATGTTTGTTTTTTATGTTTTATTTTTGCTGTTTATAAATACTTTTTATGAATAGAACCATAATTAGTAATAAAGTTTTGTGCATTTCAGGGACTTATTGCTTCGAAGCATCGAGTGCAGATGTGCCAATTGGCAACAAATACTTCTAACTGGATAAGGTTTTCTCTTTAACATAATTTTATTTAGTTTAACATTTAGAATTATTGTGTTTGTTACAATTTTTACATTTGTATTGTATAATTTTTAGAGTGAGTAGCTGGGAAAGTGAGCAAGATTCATGGCAGCGAACTGTGAAAGTATTAAGGCATGTTGACCAAGATGCAAATAAAGTTTATGGTGTACCTGGTAAGTGATTTTTTTTAACTAAACTGAAGTTATGCATTATAAAATCAAAAATGAACAGTAGAAAATACTGGAAAGCAGCTATGTGGAGTATGTAGGAGAAAAGTTTTTGCAAATTCTATTACTTGTACGTTTATAAGTAATGATTTCAAAAGAGATGTAGTGATTTCAAAAGAGATGAAGTGGTTTCAAAAGAGATGTATTGATTTCAAAAAAGATGTAATGATTTCAAAAGAGAAGTAGTGGTATATTTGCTCTTAATGTTGTTTGTTTTGAGTTTAAAAAACTTACTTTGTTGAATACAGAGACATCAAAAAACAGATTTAAATAAGTAACATTGAAAAAAAAGTGTATTTGTAAGTTTCGTTTTCATAGAAATACAATTAGTTCAGCCAGCAGATCATAAGAAGTAAGTTGTGCCAGAGTAATTTGTGCTTGTGCCAAGTTCAGAAAATTATATCCAATTCTAATAGCAAGAGATACAAAATTAAAGACTAAATATAAGTTAGAAAATTTGGACAAAACAGATGAAATAAAAAAGTTAAGGAAAGATGCTCAAGAGTTAAGAATGTGAAAAGTGTTCAACTCAAGCAAGCACAGAAACAATGATGCCAAAGCAATGACGATGTTGTTGATTCTAATCATAACATTGCACAGGTTTTATAATAAAGAAGGAAATCTTTGATGTAAAGCCCCTAATTCTATTGTAGATATGAGTAGAAAAGAGTTCACCTTGGATGAACCTATCATCACCATAGAAATATTCAGTTCTGATCCGTAAAAAAGATTAATGCCAGGTAGTTTGTTGGGTGTTGTTAAAAACTATTTAAACTCTTTGGTTAGGTCATCTTTAAATAAGAAGATGGCATAATGAAAACTGTTTGAATGGCACATCAAAAAAGTTTACAATTAGCTTTATTTTTATTTTATTTTTTATTTCACTTTTTTAGTTCATGTTAAATTTCTATGTGGAGCTGATCTTATGGAATCATTTTCTGTGCCAGATCTTTGGAAAACTGAAGATGTATACAATTATTGATTTTGTTTAATCATGTTCTTTTTACTCTCTAATAATTCTAATAAAATATAGTAGAATAATGCTACCTTTTAAAGTTCCTTTTTTCTTTGCCAGCCTTAAACCTTTGCATATTCTTTTTTTATCCGTTTTTTTTTTCTTTCTTGACTATTTTTTATTATTAATATTATCTGGGGAAAAATTTTAGATTGAGGAAATTGTTGGTAAACATGGTTTAGTTGTTATAACTAGGGCTGGCTCAAATCCACAGAAGTTTATTGAAAATTCGAGTATTCTTTCCAAGTTTAAGGTTGGACTTTTAATTTACTGAAGTTTTTTTAATAAACCTTTGAGTTAATAAAAAGCTATTTTTTCACTGTTTTCACTTCCACAATGCTTTGAGGGCCACTTTTTTTTTTTTTTTAAATCATCGATTCTACAATCCTCTCAGCTCTATAGCTAAAAAACACAAACTTGACAGACATGATTGCTGGTCCGAGAAACAATTTGACCGCAGTATTACTTGGTACAATAAGAATTACTGTACTTTTTACTATTACTATTTACTTAGCTAATAACATTTTTTTGTGTGTGTGCTCGTGTTATCATGAATTTTGTTGTATTTAGAGTAATATTGATATTGTGGAGGAATGGATTTTGAATGAAATAAGTGCTACTAAGATCCGGTTTGTTTTTCAGCTTGTTAGCCACTTACATTTTGTTTGTTTTAAAGTTAGTCTAAAACAAACAAAATATAAGTGGCTAACAAACAGTTTTTAGTGAATTTTTCTTTAGAACTGCATTGAGTCGTGGTGAAAGCATCAGATATTTGGTTCCAGACACGGTCATTGATTATATCGAGAAAAATAAACTTTATTGTTAGCTGAATGGTAAATTTTATTATCAGTAGATAGCAAATGTAATATTTGATATATTGTCCTTAGGTTTTTTTTTTCTTTTTTTTTTTGTAATTAAGAATTTTTTAATTGTAATGAAATTTTGTTTATTGACATTTTTATTTTATCAAAGTTTACCAATTTGCTGCAGTGTTTGACTAAGTTAGGCATAACAAAGTCAAAGAAAAAACAATTTAACATTAAAAAAATCTTTGCTTTCCTATCTTGGCATTGAATAAACAATCGGTTTTGTTTATAAGTATAGTTTAAAAATATTTTGTAAATGTATGTACTAGTGTTACAACATTTAGTATTGACTTTCAATTTAGGAGGGGCGGGTATTTATTGAATTGTGTGAAATATAACTGTGCCGTACTTCTAGACCGAACCCGATGAGATCCTTTTAAATATACCACTAATATATTTTTAAGTTATTATTATTATTATTTTTTATTTTTTATTTTTTTTTTATTATTATTTTTTTTTTTATGTTTCTTTTATTAAATACGAAGTTTAAATTATAAAATTTAATCAGCGTCATCAAAGCAAAGAATAATTAAATAAACTCATTGTTTTATTAGGTTTTTGTTGCCCCAATTAATAACTGCAAGCGATAACCATGACAACCATAAGCAATTCTTATGCTTTAATTATTATTATTATGTGTTTCTCAAACTTTCTGATGTCAACTGTTTTATTCACTATTTCCGCATTTTTTTACAGTTGTAGAGTATGATACTTTCAAAGATGTGTATGCATCAATACCTCCATCACTGACAACTAATCTACAAATGAAAAACGTACTTTCATCCTTGATTGAGAAACAGATGGCGCCAGGTCTCCTTAACTTGTCTTAACTTTGTAAGATCTACTTGGCTCTTCCTTTTACATCTGCTAACGCTGAGAGAGGTTTCAGTAGACTTAAGATTATCAAATTTATCAGCAATCAACAATGACAGTCTTTTTGGATTGGCATAAGTTTCAATTAAAGTAAATTTGCAGAGAGTATTGACTTTTCAATAAGTCGTTTTGCTTCAATAAAATATTGCAGAAAAAATGTCTTCCTTAATGCTTGCTTTTATTAATATGTAATGTAAATACATTTTTAAAAAACCAAAGCATTGCAACAATATTAAATTTTTCTTTTTTTTCATTAAAAAAAAATTGTGAATAAAAATAACTTAGAAAACTCAAATTTTAAGTTGTTTCCCAGTGGACACGGACGTAAAAAAGACGTCTTCTAAACATCTTATACACGTTCAAAAGACGTCTTTTTTGGTCCAGTGCCCACTGGGTTAATGTCTTAGATTATGATTAAAGTCACTTAAAAGCATCGATAAAGTATGTTAATCATAAATGTGATTCTCGGGAAAAAATTCTACCTGTCCTCTACTCATTTTCTTTGCCCATCTCTCTTCCACCTCTTTCCACGTCTATGTCTATTTTACATTAACCAAATACGATTACTACCATATATGTGGTATTGTACGTTTACCAAGTTTCTTCCTATCTTTTCAAGTTTAAAAAAATTTTTATTACAGCCAATTAACGATTGTTAAAACCTTTGTGCATTGTGTGCCTTGTAGTCGGAGAGAATTACGAGTTGACCCGGACAAAAATAGTATAAAGCTGAAATTTTGCATAGAGGATGTATACAGTCTCTGGATGAGCGTAAAAAAAGCTCCGTTGATTGCGCTATGGGAACATCCCTTTCGGGGCAAAAAAATAGTCCAATTTTGACTACAGTAAAATATAATAAACTATATATTGTTGGATAGAAAATTTTATGCTGATCAATATTTATATAAAAACTATGACTTGAAAATAAATATTTTCAAAGTTATTCACGTTTGAAAAGATTAAGCCGCACAAAACTTCATTTGATTTTTTGATTTCAAAAGATAAATTTTTACTGCGAAAAATTTAATCATTTTTATTACAATCGTTTTCAATTAAACATTTTCGTATGGATGGAGAATTTCAGTTTTATTACAAAAAAAGTTTGCTTCGTATTGAAATATAAAACTTACAAGTTAAACGATAATTATTACATGTGGTAAAAGTACATTTTTGAAAGAAAACGAGTGCTGTTTGTGATTTGTGCAAGCTTGGCTTTGACAAATAAAGTTACAACAAAGTATATGGAAAATGTCTTAAAACATTGATTCGATTAAGCAAAGAAAGGATTATGAATGAACTATGCAGGTAAAAAAAATTTTAAATAAACAATCTTACAAAAAAGATTTTCGCGCAGTTTGTTCAAACTTTAGTTTGTACATAATAACTCATACTCATTAATGACGTTTTGCTGATTTTTTTTTTTTTTTTGTTGTTTTTTGTTATTTAGGTGCCCCAAGAAGGGGCACCTAATTGTACTATATTTTTTTGTACAAAACATGTACTATATTTTTTTGTTTTGAAAACAAAAAAATATAGTACATTTTTTTTTTTTATAAGCATAACGTTTATAAGCATATGGAGGCTCAGATTTGGAAAAAAATAAGCATATGTAAGCATATTCCTGAGCCTCGATAAGCCATTTAAAAAATTCAAATTTTATTTATTTTATTATTTCATTTATTTCAAATTTTATTAATTTTATTATTTCATTGATAACATTTATATATAGTATATATTTTTTATTTTTTATTATACTGTACTAAAGTCGACTTTTTATTTTTCTTATAACCATTAACCTTTAGTAACGCACGCATTTTTAGAAAGTATTGAAATAAGCATATTTTATTATAAATATGCTTAAGTTTAAGCATATTTTTGAGCCTCTTTTAACTTTTTGCTTAAGCATACCCGAGCCTGTTTCAAAAATTTCATATGCTTATAAAAAAAACAACATGTATTTAAAAGGCTTTAACACAATTCTAACGTAAATAACTCAAAAAGTAATTATTTTCAAGTCATAGTTTTTATATAAATATTGATTAGTATAAAATTTTCTATCCAACAATATATAGTTTATGATATTTTAGTGCTGTCAAAATTGACCCTTTTTTTTACCCCAAATTGCCCCAAAAGGGATATTCCTTGTAGCGCAATCAATGGGGCTTTTTTTTACGCTCATCCAAAGACTGTCTACTTTCTGTCTGCAAAATTTCAGCTTTATACAATTTTTGTCTGGGTTCGACCCTATTTTCTGCTAATTCTCTCCTACTAATGTTTTTTTGCGTGCATTGTTTTTTGCTCTTTTTTTGTGCATTGTGAATGAATTTGAAAAATTAAAACTTAAAAATAATTTATCTTCATTTCTTTATTTAAAACAAAATAAATTTAAACAAATTCTAAAAAAATTTTATTTGAATATTAAAATAAGAAAACTAAAAGAAGTTAATAATTATCATTATTAACTTCTTTTAGTTTTCTTATTTTGCTTTTTCTTCTTACTATTTTTATAGAAACTTTATTGTTTTTTGTCATTATTATTTATTTTTTTCATTACTACTATTTTTATTATTACTATTATTATTATAATAAAAATAATAGTATTTACAAAAGTAATAGTATTTATTACATTCATTGTAATAAATACAATTATTTTTGCTTTTGCTCTATTAATGAATAAAGTTATTATTGTTATTATTATTATTTTTTAAATTAATATTGTTAATATATTTATTTGGTGTCACTCCTTTGATCAGGTTTTTGCATGAGTGACTCCTTTCTTGTCAATCATTTAATTATATTTGTTTTTAATGATGTTTTGGTTTTATTATTTATAATATTATAGATATTCTTGTTATTATTATTATTATTTTTGTTATTATTATTAATATTATTAATAATATATTATTGTTATTATATTATTATTGTTATTAGATGATTGTAAATTTTGAGGAAAATAAGTTGTAATCTTGTTGTTGTTGCTGTTGTTGTTGTTTGTTGTTGTTTTTCAGTTTTATAACTAAACATTAGAAAAATAGTAAACGATAAAACCTAAAAAAGTGAAATATAAAGTCTGTTGGTTTACCTTTCCATGGTGCATTTCGTTAAGTAAGTTAGGCAGATGTTTTAATTTTTCTAGTTTATGAACTGAAAACCAAGGCTATATTCGAATATTTCCCCTTGGTTTTCAATTCAAAATTATTAAATTTGCATTATTTATAGAAATAGTATATAGTTTTTTATAGTTAAGAAATATTAAATTGCCATGATATATTAATTTAAAACCAATAATAGGTTACAATAAATTTTTCTTTGACATTAGATTGAAATGCAAAAGCATTAAAATAATATCTTATGTTGCACTTGAGCAAAATTTTATAAGAAAAACGTTAGCTGGAGCATTGCGGCAGAAATCATTAATTAATAAATGTTCCAAGAATTTACATGGCGAGGCTGAAGATACATGTTTGACAACACGAAACTTGTATTTTGAACCATATAGCCTAATTCATATCTTTTGGAAATCATTAGTTGCAATTTTTAAATTTAAAAATAATATATCATGACTAACCTTGTTAAACTACGTTATATTATGTTTTATATTTATTTTATATTTGTTAAATACAATTCTATGACATAATACTATGTCATAGAATTGTAATGTAATGCAATGTAAATATATTGAAGTTGTAAAAAAATGTCAGTACCAACATCGAGAAGATAATGAAGACCTTTCTGCAAACACATATAGGGTAAGTGCTCTAATAATGGCCGGGTCTTATTAAGAGCCAAATTTGAGTCCGATTTCATTGCATTTAGTTATTTGGCGGAACATTTATCTGATTGATGAATATAATTTTGTGTTTTTTTTTTTATTTTTATTTTAATTCACCTCCTCAAGGCCGAGAAGGCCACTACAGACGAGGAGGCTACTTATTTGTGGCTATAACCCTCTCTCAACTCTATAACTCCGAAACACAAACCTTGACGAACAAGGCCGAAACGAGTTGAGCGCGGTATTACCAGGGACGTGGTGGGGATCGAACTCGAAACCTCTAGCTTATGAAGCAAGTGCTACCACTACACCACTACCGCATCGAAAAACTTATGAAGATACAGTTGAGTTATTACCTTATAGTGATTCAATTCAAATTAATTCTGAAGTAATTTAGATTTTTATTGACTAGTAAATTTATGCAATATTTAAAAAGAAATATTTAAAAATTCGAAAAATTAAAATTGAAATAAAATATTTAAAAACATTTTAAAAAACAACTTTCTAATTAGTGGTTGTCCATAAGTTAAGTCATGCTATAGAGGGATAGGAGTTAGTGGTTTTGTGATGGCTCATACGGTATTTGCTACTAAAGTGTTATGATGTTGTGACGAGGGGAAGGGAGAAGGTCAAAAACGATTAAAAATTGCGTGACGTAATTTATGGAGGACCCCTTAATTGTTTTCATACTACCTTAGTAGTATAAAAAGGGTGGTAGTAACAGTAACGAAAACAACTAAACTGAACTTGCACTTGCCTCAGAAGCGTCAGATCCGTGGTTCAAACCCCATCTCTGGGCAAGTTTTGCGACATCGGTTGGGAAGGAGGCGTTAACTTCCTATTAAATGCTCTTCCGCGGTGCTCTGCGATAAGACCGTAAGGACTTCTTGGGGCACCTTAATTAACTAAAAAAAAAAAAAACTAACTCAAAAAGGGACTTTCGGATCAGTATCGGAAAGAGTATAGAATCGAAATTGTGAAAAAAGCAATAATATCGAAAATCCTATAAGCAGTATAAGATCAAAATTAGAAGAAAATGATTATCATGGAAATAATTAAAAATTGAATAATGTTGAAAATTAAAACTCTTTGCATGTTCTACCTATTTGTCAGTCGATGTAGCAGCATTTCTCGCATGTTCTACCTCTGTTAGTTTTTCCATACTGTTTCAATTTTTGTATAGGAATTTTTGATATTATTCCTTCTAAATGAATTTTAATTTGTTTATTCTTTTTGAATTAATTCCTTAAAATTAACTTTATATATTAATTCCAAAAATTTGATCAAAAAAGTTTCGATATGAATCTGTTTTTCGAGCAATTTCTTTTCGAGACTATTTTGCTTTTCTTTATAAAAACACTTAATTAGAAAGTTTACAAGACAACATCAACAAAAAAGTTTTTAGATAAAGTAACAAATTTTTATGATTGTTTTAAATAAAAAACATGATATATAAAT